ATAGAAGTATGCATGCAATTCCCTGAAAAGGTGGTTTCGCTGCAGTGAAGGAATGCTAAGCCGTGAAAGCACTTGCTTAAATGTATAGGTCCATTTGATTCACCCTGCCTAATACACAAGACCCAAGACAGGGGTATTAAGCTTACATATAGCGCCTCAATGAACTTGAACGGATCCCCATGCTAGTAATAGGTTGATAGATGCTCATAATAATGGCCTCTAACATTTTTTCAACTAGTTGATTAAACAGGTGCATAGAAAAAAGTTAGAACAGTGCGCAAAAGAACCGTTGTAACCTTTAGGTGTCCACAAACTTACGTAGTAAAAAGGTCAAAACTGTTAGTAAGTGTCCAAGAAAGTTAGTAACACCTCCTGTTACTAACTGTCTGCTTGTGGTTACAAGCTTTTTATCAATTTTAACTATTTTTTTTCTCCTGCACTTCGTAAACTGGTTCATGATAGTGCCATCTCGGTGCTGTCGTCGTGCATGGATATTTCAGCAAGTGCAGGGGCAACATGACGTGGAAACGAATACAAGAGTGAAGATGCCATGCAAGCCCTATGCTACTGGTCAGCTGTTTTGCGGGTTGTGGTGGCTGTGACAGCTGTGACTCCTAAAAGGCAGCGTAGCTTACGTTGCGTAGTAGGTGCAACTACTGGAAAACATCGGCTGTCGCACTTGTTGGATGCCACTAAAACAAACACGAATGCAATCGCTGTGTCGTCTGCTGCAGCTGCACCCATCTTGTGCTGCACAGACTCGGCACTACCTCACGAGCAGGTGCCGCAAATTAGTGAACTTGCCTTGCTCAACAGCTGCACTTTATAGAAATGAATACCATGGTGCTGCCCCCGCCACGTTAAACTTTTTAAATGGATACCGAAGTGCAATGCCTCCCCTCCGTGAACCAGTTTACAAAGTGCAGGTGAAACGTACGGACCATATATTTGTCTGCATGTAACCACCTGTAAAAGTGGTTTCACTGCAGTAAATATGTGCTAAACAATGAAAACACTTAACCAGGGGAAATCCGCACTGTTTTGAAGCTCCACTTCAAGGTTAAATGGGCATATTACCCTCGCGTTGATTCATCATTTTTAAGTTAAAAGATCCTTATGCTACCTCATATGCTTTAAGTACAGTAAATTTAAAAGCTAAGTATTTTACAGGTTATCACTAGCATTCTACCAAGAGTCAAATCCTGCTACTATTCGAAGTTGTTTCCACTTTCTTTGAACCAAAAAAATTGCATTTGCTCAGGCATTGTTTCAATACTAAAAAAATGTTAAGTCGTACAGTTAATTAGGTCAATATGGACAGATAGTTCGTGACAAATATGACCGTTTTTCTTTATAATATGTGATATATACTATTCAAATTCAATTTAAAATTATTCAACAAAAATCCCAATTCCCTTTGAATTCGCTTCGAACCTAAAGTTCACTATTCGCATACGCCAACAAAAAACACACCACATGAATGCAGCATTTTCTCTTGCATTCAGCTAGAGTGGGTTTTCCAAGCAAGCAAAGTCAATGCAACACCATGCAATAATGGAACTACTGAAACATGATTGTGCAAGTGTGCACAGAGCCTAGAAAAACTAAACTTTTCAACCATCCAAAGCTCAAAAGTGACATCAAAAAGTTATCTTTCCCAGGAATTAAATAGAAATGCACAAGTTGCATTTTATTTCATTACAATGCACTACAAGCATCTTTTCTTACGAGTGGCTGAGGACATCTGCTCGGTCTATTTGTAAATATACCAATCTGTGCTCGTTTGTTTCTTTCTTGTTCTGTGTTAGTATGGATGCCAACCTGTATTTACTATACTGATTATAACTTTCCATTCATGTCTTATTATGTACCGTTATATGGCATGACAAAAGCACATTGAGAGGTTGCTACATTATCAAGCTAGTACTAGGATGTTTCTCAAGCAGTAGCAAGTTGTGTCATACATTTACACTTATTTCGCAATTAAAAAAGTAATGACGTCATTATTATTTATAGTTTTATACACCCTCAAGCATTATTCACTGAAACCTGAGTTTTTCTTTGCCTTTAATATGATATATTATATGAAGTGCAACTGTCTTGAACTGTTGTATAAGATGAGGTGCCAACTAATCTGTCATATTACCCCCCGAAAGCTTTATGTAATTTTGTGACAACATACCCTCACAAAACAGTTACCATCTTTACTCGAGTAATGAACCCACCTTTTTTTTTTTGTCAGAAAAGTTTATGCTAATTTGAGGGCAGGGTTGATTACACGGGAGAAAAAAATGTCATGGGAGTTCTAACAGCAAAAATCTCACATGACTGTACTGAGAAACTCGCTGTCCAACTGCTGCTGACCTTCAATTCAGTGGCAAGACTACAAAGCCTCTGTTCAACTAACTTCGCTCTCTACAAGAGGAAACTGTCCTTGTTTAGGCCTGCAATATGCGCAATGAACTTTTTTTGTCGCCCGAAACTCTCCTTGTTTTCTCCTGTAACAAATGTGTACGGATCGATGCCAAAGTGTCGTCCCACCGCATGGTTCTCATGCTCCTGCGCATGCTCAACCAAGTTTAAGACCGGCCGTGTCGCTAGCCTACCGGCTCATCATGCCTTGCGCAGCAGGTGTAAGTTCACTACGACAAACCCGACAACAGAAACACAGTGTTGGATGGCGACACACGCACTTTGCAGGTGCACGTCGTACCATTCGCGCTATTGGGGGGGGGGGGGGGGGTGCACTTTGTTTTTAGCATTGTTTTTGTGCCACTGTGCTTGCGTGGTGCTATATATACACGGTTATATCAAACCCGCATATATCACGTTTTCAGGTACATCGAACTCTTAATTTATCCCCTAGAAATTCCGTTGTAAAAGTATAGAAATTTGCATGTTCATATCGAACGGTATTTTTACCTGCCTTCGGATATATCGAACACCGCGCGAATGAAAGGTGCACTTCGGCACTCGCCGCGCCCTGCGATCTCCGTGGCAGCGCAGCTTCGCGTGCGAGTTCAAAGGTGCGTTTTGTCACTCGCATGCCCGGCAAACTCCGTGCGGCACCATGCCTCCGTCAAAACCCGAAACACTCAAAAAAAGGTAAGACCAAGAGGGCTTAGACTGCACAATCTCCAACTTGCGGAACGGCTTTTTTTTTTTTTTTTTTTTTCTCTCATGCTTTCTCCGCGTACTCGTCAGCTCAGAGAGCAGGAACGAAGGTGCCGACGTCCTCCTCCTTTCACTTTTTATTTTTTGCTGCTGTTTTGGAGTTTTGATCAGCTAACCACAGCTCACGCTTTTTGCTGTTGCCCTCGCAGATGGCCATCGCCTCCCGAGCGCGTTGCTTCTGTTGTCGCGTCGCCTACGTACCATCGCATGTGCAGCATTTCTCTTAGTGTGTGGTGTGCAAAGCCTCTGCGGAGTCCTTGAATTATCGACTTCTCGTGCAGCTATGGCCAGTGTCAAGAAGCGCAAGACCCTTGACTTTGTGACGAAGTTGAAGGCTATTCAGCGTGTTGAGGCGGGCAATAAATGTTCGACGGTCGCGGACGACTTCGGGATACCACAGAGCACTCCGAGTACCTTGTTGGAGAACAAAGCAGATATCAAGGCAAAAGCGGCGGAGCAGCTAACATCGGGAGTCTATCATGTGCGCACTTCTGCCCATGGGAATGTAGAAAAGGCACTCTATGCCTGGTTTATAGAAATGCGCGCGAAGAACATTCCGGTAGATGGCCCAATGCTGATCGCCAAGGCCAAATGGTTTGCCGCTACACTCGGTGAAACAACTTCACCGACAACACCGGGTGGCTTCACCGATTTAGGCAGCACTAGTACATCGTTGGCAAAACCAATTCTGGCGAAAACGAAGCTGTCAGCAGCCGGGACATCCAGCTGTGGATGACGATGGAGTGACCAGAAATTTCCGCGAAGTTTTCTCCCGTGGAGATCTTCAATGCCTGGCGAGACGTGAAGACAGACACAGTGGTCAACTGCTTCCACAAGGCAGGCTTTGAGACGGCATAACTTGTGGGAACTGGTGAAGGCGACGACGACGAGCGCATAGAAGACGAGTTTCGTGAGTTGTCGTTCTGCTTCCCGGCAGCAGTTCCCCACGAAGTGTCTGCGGATGACTTCATAGAAACGCACTGCAATGTCCAGGCCCTTGTGACCATTGCTGACGAGGACATAGTAGCTGCGGTCGCAGGGACCCAGGATGCCCAGGCCACCAGCTCAAGTGATGAGGAGAAACGTCTGGACGAGGCGCTGGCTACACATGCGTACTACGCCACGGTAGTAGGGGCAGCATTCGGTGTCATTAGCCGTTGTATAGGCGGAGAAGGAGACATGGAGGGAACCAGACTGTTGCACCTGGACAGCCTTAATAAGATCTAGACTAGAGTCTTCAACTTCATTTCAAAAACCAAGAAACAGGCGAAGATAAGGGATTTTCTTCACGCAAATAAATAATTCTGTTACGGCGTGTGTGCGGAATTAGTTGTCACTCTTGAATGCACCTATTGATGGTGATGATCTGCTCCAGGTAAGCTCTCGGGGCCTCTATTTTTTTTTTATATTGAATTTTCCATATATCAAACTAATTCGCGATCCCCTTCGAGTTCGATATATTCGTGTTCGACTGTATGAGCAAAGAAATTTCTTCAGCGTTAGACAGATGGCTCTCTGCTGCAAAAGACGAGACATATTTTGATAGGCATCGTCCACGCTCGTGCTGCTCGCAACTGTTTAGCATAGACCTATTGTTGTTAAACTATGTTTTGACTTTTATTGCATCGTTAATTTGTGAGATAATGGTGTGATTTGAAGTTGCTTCGATTGTCAATGACACTGGCTATCTCACCAAAGAGCCATGGTGGAGGGTGGGTTCATTATGAGTAAATACGGTATTATAAAAACTTCCAAGACACAGAACCAGCCACTCAATGCAATCAGCGTTTAAACCAGGAATATTCAAAACTAAAACCACACTTTACCCTGGTCATAAATTGAGGCTCGGCTTTCACTGTCCAGTTCCCCCAGCTTTCTGTCTATGTTCTTTTGTTCCAAGGCCCGAATTTTCTCTTCGTGATGTTCATCAGGATTCATGACTAGTGTCAGGCAATGTTTGTTGTCCTGAAAAGGTACAGAAGAAATGCATATGTAGTCAAAGCATTCTAAAATTAGTGATTCAGTGTTTACAGTGACCAGCCCTGTCTGAATTCACACTGCTTGAACCATAACAAGGCTGTAATCTTGCATTCTTATTTGCATGAAAATCTTCATAGTTAATTTTCTTTCAGATCACTTTGAACTGCTGAAAAGGCAGATTTTTTTTGTGTTTGCTAGTCACGTACCTTTTTGTTTTCTCTTACCAACTACTCTGTGGATGGCCCACAATGACCACAGCTGCAGCTAAGAACGATTTTGTCCCCCCCCCCTACAGAAAAAACATATTTCTAAACTATAACTAAAACCAAAATCAACGTACCTTTATCAGTCAACACATGCAACCATATGCCAGCCTGTTTTTCAATATGGTATACATTTAAATGTGTGTATAGGCAGCCCATGAAAAATTTGCACACAAGTTCTAGAGACAAACTGTACACCTTGTGGAAAGATATACAGTATGCTACTACCGCTTTGTAAATGTAGGAAACCATTGTAATATGTCCTATTGGACAAAAGTTGTACGAGAAAAGAGGTTTGATGACCTTAAACGGATGTCTGGGTGGTGCTGGTGATGTACAGTCACAGTAGAAGAAGATTAGCACAAGCAACTACTGGCCAGAACGATCAATGGTGCTAATCTTTTTCTTTCACATACCTTAAAATATTGCTGCACTTTCTCCTGGAAAAAGCGTGGATTGCTTGCCAGTTGCTCACGCAGCCAGGAAACGTGTTCATTCACCTTGAGGGACCTGACAGGGTCACCCCCGTGGTTCCAGAGGCCAACTGTTGCCTGACACAAAAAAAGACAGGAGATGGTTACAGAAACAACAGCTGCATAAAAAAAATATGATGGGGATCCTACACTTCCACCAGATGAACTATGCACAATAAATTTTGTACAAGGAACAACTATATTTGTGCAATTTTACATAATTTGTGCAATCATCAGCCTTACCAAGATTAAGCTTCAGGGAGAATTAATCATTTCATTTCGAAAAGGTTTGTCGGAACCACTTACATACGACAGTACATTTATGCAGTCAAACACCTGAAGTTTGATGTGCTTTTTTTCTCAGGACAGTTTTCTTTGGCAATGATACCATCAAAATGAATCTCAAAGGCCTTTCTGAATTGTTGTCCAGTACAGAGAATGCAGCTATGCACCTTTCCAATGAGGGTTCATAGAACGTGGCCATATTGCCCTCTGGACTGTTGCAAATATGTATGATCCCACCCTTCCACCCGTTACTCCCAAAAATGCATGCTGAGGCAGAGACGACAACCTTTGTACTCCCAGAAAACAGTCCAGAAAAGAGGTGCTTGCTCTCATTGATGGAAAGATTTATAAGCAATTGAACAAAAAACATACAGAAGTATACAAGCCATACAGAAATGTACAGAAGTGTGCGGAAATGTAGGTCGATACATAAGTGTACAAGCCACTGGCGAAATTACTGTCTGAGTTTATGATTTTTTTTTTTCGAGACAAGCCATAAGTGGTTTTTTGAAAACTTTCGACAAGCATGAAGCCTCAGGTTTACAATCAGAAAACAGACCATGGTTGACATACCAGTCACTTGAGCGCCTAAAGTTCTCCTACAGAACATTGACAATGCAAATCGGCATTCATTTCATTTCATTTCATTTATTTATACTGTTAGCCCAGAAGTGGGCCGTTACAGGGTGGAAGTACAAACAATTATTTGCAAAAAAGAAGTACCGTACAGGTCTCGAGATAATTTCTCGGTATTATTGTGACCAGCAACTCGAAGCTATACATAACATACATAAATGGAACACACATGCGATGCAATACATACGCGCAGAACAGCACATGACGCATTTGAGGCGGCACTTTTGCACCGCGCTGAAGATTTGAAAGACAACTACTGCAGAATCATGCAACCAACAAAAAGTACACACACACGCAAAAAAAAAACATATGTCACTGTTATTCGGAAAATAAACGTTTTAGATTCTGTTCAAATGATGTAAGCGAGGAACAACCAATTATAGACTCTGGCAGCATATTCCAATCTTCAATAGCACGTGGAAAGTAACTGAACTTAAAGCAATCGTTACGTGGGACTAGGGGTGGTATATACATATTATGGCGATGTCTGGAGTGTTCTTGTGTGTTGACCTGGAAGTAATCTGAATAGTTTAGTTTAAAATGATTATGAATTAACTGGAAGAGGAATTTCAGACGCTCAATCCTCGTCCTAAGTTCAGGACTATCCAGTCCAGCTTTTTTACAGAGTTCAGTAGGAGAATGATGTCGGCGATATTTATTAAAAATAAATCTCGCACCAAGTCACTGTATTTTTGTTATTTTATTGCAGTTTGTCTTTGTGTAAGGGTCCCAGACAATTTTAGAATATTCGATAATAGGTCTGACAAGAGTTTTGTAAGCAAGACACTTTATATCAGATGGGGCGGTATAAAGGTTACGTCTAAGGCTATACAATGCCTTGGTAGCCCTGGAGCATACATTATCAATATGAGTGTTCCACCGGAGGTCGGGCGTGAACCATAACCCAAGATATTTATAGTTTTGTACACGCTTGAGGAAAGCATTGCCAATCTGGTAGTTGTAATCTAGAGGTGCTTTCTTTCTAGTTATAGTCATAAAGACTGTTTTTTCTGTGTTCAAACTCATTTGCCATTCTTCGCACCAATCCTTTATTCTTTGAAGATTGTTGTTTAGATTAACTTGGTCATGTTCAGTCTCGATTCTGCTATAAACAACACAGTCATCGGCAAACAACCTTATCGGGACCGTAACGCGGTTTGGTAGGTCATTTATATATAATAAAAATAAAAGGGGACCCAGCACGCTCCCCTGGGGAACTCCAGAATTCACTGCAACTGCTCTAGACTGTTTATTTTTTATTTGAACAAACTGCTGACGGCAGCTGAGATAGGATGAAAACCATTTTGTCAAGTGATTATTTTGAAACGTTTTGTCAATTTTAAACAGGAGCTTTGAGTGCGACACTTTATCAAATGCCTTTGCGAAATCCAAATATACCACATCAGTTTGACCACGCAAATTGATTGTTTTTGAAAGATCATGAACAAATTCGATTAACTGAGTTGTTGTAGATAAGCCTCGGCGGAAGCCATGCTGCTTCGAAGATAATAGATTGTGCGTATCAAGATAGGACATCAAGTGTTTGTTAATAATGTGCTCGAGTATCTTTGAACATGTACTGATAAGCGAAATAGGACGGTAGTTGCGCTCGTCCCGACAGGAGCCACTTTTGTGAACAGGGGTAATTTTAGCCTGCTTCCACGCTAGTGGGAAAGAGCCACTGCGCAGGGACGACTGAAATATTTTTGTAAGGAAGCGAGCCGCCCATTCAGCGTATCTGTACAGAAATTCGTTTGGTACACCATCAGGGCCGGGGGTTTTTCTTGTATTTATATTAAGTAAAAGATTTAGGACACCCTCTTCGCTAATTACCACATCATCGATCGGCCGCTGCAATGGTGACGTAGAAAACTCGGGCAAAATGCCATTATCATGAGTAAACACAGAAGCAAAAAAAGAATTGAAATCATCAACACGTTGTTGAGTAATTTCAAGTGGCCTCGGAGAGCTTGCTGGGGGAGTTACAAAGCGCCAAAACCTTGAGGGGGCTTCCTTCAAGTATTTCGTCAAAGTCACATTGAAAAACCGATCCTTGGACTGCTTGATCAGACGTTTCAGTTCTTGTCTCATTGAAGAAATGCAAGCTGTTCCTTCAGGGGTACAATTTTTTGCACAAGATTTCCGTTTCCGTTTTAGTTTTCTTTTTGTGTGAATGATTTCTCTGGTAATCCAGGGATTGGTTTTACAAATGCGTTTTCTAATCCTAGGTACATAGCTGTCTATGCACTTCCCTACAACAATTGAAAAGAAATGCCATAGCCTATCAGTGCTGCAGTCAGTGTTGTAAAGGACCTGAAATTCATCAAAGGACCTTTCAAGATAGTCCAGAATAGACACATCATCAGCCGCCATAAAATTCAATACAGTGCTAAGTGTGGGTTTACCCAAGGTGTCTAGGGACAATGCTAGGTGCGTTACTACCATTCTGTGGTCGGATAGGCCTTCTACAACTTCACAACGGCTGAGTAACGGCAACAGCTTTGGGGACACAAAAACCAAATCAAGGATAGATGACCTTGTAGTCCCTATCCGAGTAAATTCAGTGACAGTTTGCGTTAGCGCGTAGCAGAATGCCAGCTCCAGTAGTTGCTCAGCACTTGCAACCTGTTCCAATCCAGGAGACTGGGATAGCCAATTAATATCCGGAAGATTGAAGTCCCCTAATAATAATACGTTATCTTGGAGGCTAAAATTAGAATCCATAAAATTTCTTAGCTTTGCGATTATATCAAGAGAGGAATTCGGCGCTCTATAAATCCCTCCAATATACACAGTTCGCTCGCCGAACCCACACCTAATCCACAACATTTCTATGTCATAGTTATCATCCAACACTGAAAACCTAATGTTGTCTTTAATAAGAAACGCAACACCACCACCTATTCCTTGCCGGTCTTTTCTAACAATTGTGTAACCTGTAGGTGTTACTTCAAAATCTGCTACATCCGTGTGTAACCAAGTCTCTGTTACGACCATTATATCCGGTTCATGCTCCAGGATTGCGGCTTCAACTGCATCAGCTTTATTCAGCAAACTTCTGGCGTTTACATTAATAACCTTAACAGATGCGGTCGGTCTCGATTGGCGTCAGTCAGAGCTGGTAATACCTGGGCTAGCATACCTGAATCGCTCGTTGGTAGCCTCATTCCAGCCATAGAGAACGTTGTTTACTTTCAATTTATCGATGATTAGTTTAACCTTTGCTCCCTTTGCTCTTTCATCCGCTGATGAAATCCATAGTTGTTTTCTGATTTCAACTACTCGTTTAGAGTAATCTTCGCTGATACTGAATTGTGTCCCCTTGAGGTTGCGGCAGTTTTTCAGTATTTTGGTTTTGTCCCTGAAGTCTCCATTGTTGTTAGTACCACGTACCTGTGCACATGTGACCTTTAAACTTGTTGAAATCTTACCATCATGACTGTGGGGTGAGAGAATAGTACATACACTTTTTTTTAACCCTGTAGTGTTACAGAGCTCGTTTAGCAGAAATTCTGGTGTCGGCAGAGTCAATGTCTTTAGTTGTGAGCGAAAAATCAGCATTTTCCAAGAGCAATATTTCCAGGTAGAAGCAAATAAAGAAATAATAAAAAATCTTCAATTTGAGTAGGATCGAGGATTTGTACCCATGACTTCTCATTCTGAGGGACACTCAGCCATCCCGCATGCACCCTTTTGCATACCAACGGCGACTTATTTGAGTATACAGCTGTCTCAAAAGTTTCCAGAATTTTTTTTATAGTCAGCAGTGCCACCTGGTCAGGCGGCACTTAGGAGGCAGAAGTTAGTAGGGATATTAGGCTTCAAAATGAGTTCAATTTCAGTGGCCTGCAAGTAGTCGTTAAGACGAGTCAAACCATTATGCCAAGGTATTTAGTGCACCCTCGTCGAGAAAAAAAAATCAATTACTATATTTACTTGCTAATCATCACACTTTTTCCCAAGAAGTACCGATGAAAAGTTGCGGGGTGCAAGAATTACGCGAGAAAAATTGGGGGGGGGGGGGGGAACGAAGTGACTGAAAATCCATATTCTCATGCTAGCAACTAACTACACGCTTTGAGAAGTACTCATAAAGACTTACCTTAATTATAAAACCACAAGTTGAATACAAGACAAGATTTATTTGAGACACAAAAGCCGCAAGCAAATAGTAGAGTTTTGGAATACCTTATGCAAAGCTTGCGAGCATAGAGTTAGCGTTCATCACGGGAGCCCGCAAAAGATTAGCCTACGATATCAACCTTGGGCTGATGGCCATCTAATATGGAATTGCCCACAGTTATCTTCTGAAGAAATAAAGTTTTACCATCCATCTCAGTCTTAAGCACACGGAATGCCTAGGGCCCCCCTTGGTGGCTTTCAGCTGCTCGTGCTGCGTCACCAGTAGTGAACACAAAACTCATCGCCTCTAAAGTGCCTACCGGTGGCCCTGTTGCGGTTGCTTAAAGCATTATCAATCCCTTTCAAGTTGAAAGCAGCCGTGCAGCTTCCGTATCGGCCCGTAACGTAACCACAGAACAAAAACAACATATACTAGCACGCCGCGACACACACTTGACACTTTGAATTGGATTGGATTAGGGCTCTGTGCTTAATAGTACGCAAAATGCTTAAGAGATGGCACCAGGCTTTCGTGCACTATCATCATCAGTGGTTGGAAGGTGCAGATGACATTCCGGCTGCAACTTTTGGGTATGCAAAAAAACTCTCGGAAAAAATAAAATGGCATTTTCGCTTGCCAATGTGGGGGAGGGTGCGAGAATTGTGAGTGCGAGCATTATGCAAGTAAGCATGGTAGTTTTTATCAGCAGTGTCATACATTCAGGTTTTGTGGGCCACAGAAATAAAAACAGCCCGGAGATGCTCAAAACACTTCAAAAAGCCTACGGTGACAATGCGATAAGACAAAGTCCTACTCTGATGTGGCACAGAGCTTCCGGGAAAGGCAGAAGTCTGTCAATGACGACATTAGCTCCAAATGTCTGTCGAGATCACAAACAGATGAATCAGTGTAAGAAGTGCATGAAGTATTGGATAAGGAGCAGGGACTAAGTGTTTAGATGAACGTGGAGGAGTGCGGAATATTGAAACAACCCTTCGTCATGTTTTGACAAAGGATCTTCTAGTGAATAAGGTCCGTTCGTAAATGAAGCCAAAAGTCCCATCTAGTGATATGAACTAGTAGTCACACCACTGTGATTGCCTCCAAGCTGATGGCCAAAGCAGGTGTAGCAGCACTGCTCCAGCCCCTATATGGCCTCCATCTGGCCCCACCAGACCTTCTTTTGTCCCAGTGATCAAAAGAACCGAGAAAGGAACTTTGCATGGGGCGCTGAAGACTGTAAAAGAATCTTCGATGATCTCACTGAAGGAGGTTCTAGTTTGCGACTTCCAGGGCACTTTAAATGATTGGGTGATCCGTTGGCAATGGAGCATTAAACCAGGGGGGAGAGTACTTTGAAAAGTTCGAAAATGATTGCTAACTTAGATCAAATAAATTATTTATAAATTCAAAATTCCAGGAACTTTTGGGGCAGATCCTGTACAAACCGTTCAGCATTAGGGGTGTGCACATCTCGGAGGTACTTCAGCAGCTAGGCAGAAAACCCACAAGATGGCGCGAAGGGCCCACGTGCGAAGTTTTTATGTTCAGCATGGATATAAGAGCCGGCACAAGTCTACACGAGAAGCGAAGCCAGGCTAGCGATTGGGATGGCGATCGCGTTCTGCCCTTGAAAGCGAAGCTCAAGCGTCCTCCAAGATTTTTTTTTTTTTTTGCCGATAACTATGATTCTTGCTTCTTTTTGAGGGATGAGCGTGCATTTTAATAATGTATGAAAGAAGAAGAATGGACTGAGGGGTCCCTTCATTTTTGTAAAAACACAATCACATAAAGCCAAAATAAGCATAGTGGCCACTACTTTCATTTGATTTGTGTCATAATTATGATGAAATAAACAAAAAAATTAAAGCAGGAAAAAAAAAGTAATTCTCTGCAGGTGGGGACTGAATACACAACGCTCGTGGGTTACCCACAGCCAGCAACGTTTTTTGACACTGGGCACATAGCTTTGCCAAATGCGCTTCAATGACCCTAGAGGTCAGCCTGCGTGTTCCCGTCACATGTAACACGTAGTGATGGTCTCACTTGCCTCTGAAGCCTCTGAGCCTATCCAGATTATCAAGATGGAGAGCAGCCGCATTACCTGCCTACCATGTGCTTGCCTACACTACATTGTGTCCTCCCTCCCCTCAATTTAACTTTTTTTTTAAGTCATGGCATGGCTTGGGATGGTAACATAAATGCCTACAATGGCCGAAATACTAACACCTGAAATACAGAAAACTTGGTAAGAACATCCAACAGTGACTATAAAATACTAAAGTGCCTGTTTGAAAAATTATCTTTTTTTACGATTTTCCAGTCTCTAAAACCAATGTATCCCCTTAAGATGTATACCAACTTCTTGTTTAGAAGCACTTGAAAATAAAAAAAAAAAGCAGGATGAAAGCTCACATAGTTCAGAAGCAAGCCAAAGTTGGATGTCTGATGCTTCAGGTTCAGCTCTACAGAGTGAAGGGCTGCATCAATGCGCTCCTTGGGGAATCCAGTGCTGTTCAAGAAAGATACAGAAGATGACAACATCTCAAAACACAAAGAGCATCTAAAAATAGAAGAAAATTTTACTTTAATATTATTTTTGCACTATACATGCACCCTACAGTATAAACAACTGATAATGTAACCGCTTACAGTGCAGAACTGGTTACAATGCTGTTCAACTCCCGTTTACCCTCCCATAAAACTCCATGTATACGCATACCGCTTATTGTGCGATCCCCCAAGGTGAAGACCGGTTATAACGCGATTGCCAGAAAATGTTTGTGAAAGACGTGGGGGGGCGCGCACGTATGAAAGGAAGCGCGCTAGTGCACCGCCGGGGAGCGAGCAGCGAGGTCGTTACGGAGGAGGAGACAGGAAGTGAACAAATGAAGAACAGAGGGAGGGAAAAATGAAAAAAAAAAAAAAAAAACTTGGACCATCTTCCCGAAGGGAGCCCTGATGGGATGCGAAGCAGCAGTGTTGCGCACAGGTGGCGTCACAGGTTTAATGACACTAACGTGGGTGCTGCGGTGAGCGCTGGAAAATTCGTTTGAAGCGATGGCTGGCATAGGTCTTGTATGTTACATGTACAGACATGTTTCAACGCGTACGCTAGGTGCGCGTTGAAACACGCTAGGTGCACGTAAGGTTTATTGCGAGCGGTGGTTGCGGCAGGTGTTGCGAGCAAACGGAAGAGGTGGCAGCTGCGAACGCCGCGGCAAGTGCACGGAATGCGAGAGAGAGAGTGATGTAGCACCACCGGGAGCATTCCGTGGTCACAGGTAGCACCATGATAGGCAGGGAAAGTGTTCGGGTATTTGTATAAGAGCCTGGACACAAGTAGTGAAAAAGAACTAAGGGGCTCACTAGTAAATATACGGCTGGCAGTGTGGGTGATATAGCTACAAGAATAATTAAGCGCAAGTCAAAGAGGCGGAGAGGGTTTATTGGATGACAGCGATGGAAAAGAGGCCGGCTCTCAGTAACTTCTGAAAGAGCAAGAACGAAAGAAGGCGGGAGAGATTTTTATGATAATTCAAGGGGAAGCGCTTTACTGTTTGATGCGAGGTCGGGTTGCCTTAAAGAGCGTTGTCATAAAGCGATATTCAATAAACAAGGAGAACAATGTACATGCTGTGGAGGAGCTAAGGAAACGATGGAACATGTTCCGATGGAATGCGACGATATCCACCCAGGTATACGTGGGGCTACAAGCCTACATGAGGCTTTGGGTTTCAGGGACAAACATGGAAAGCTGAACACGTCCGCGATAGAAGCAAGTAAGAGACGGTTAAAGTATTGGTGGTAGAAAGGACAGAAATAGCGGGAAAACGAGGTCCTTTTGCCTGAAGAGGCAGAGAGATGTAACATAAATGGAATTTTTTTTGTTATAATATTATCAATTTAATCAAAGTAGATAAGGCATTAGGCCAACACAAAAAGAAAGTTGTCTTTGATTTTCTTTTTTTCTTGAGAGCCTGTTTTCACATTTCACCGCCCTGTTATAAAGGGAAGCTCGTAGCATCAATATATCCTTTCATCTTTCAGAAAACGCGGGTTCGATCGCAGCTGTGGCAGTAGTGTTTTGATGGCGGCGAAATGCTAAAGGCTCACGTTCTGTGTAATGTCAGCGCTGGTAAAAGAAGGCCAGACTATGTTGTTAAATTTCACCAAAGAGGCGACAAGTTGCATGCATCTTTTTGCGACCGGCACCAAGTTTTGTTTTGCGTGGTTCTATGCAGCCACCAACTTTGCCGCCCGCAACAGTCGGCGGCAGCGGTTGCCAACGCTGCCGCTGATTACCAGTGTAGCCGTAGCCCAAATAGAACCAAATTTTCTTGTCTCCAAAAACAAACAGCATGGAGCATGGCATTGTTGGGGATTTTTTGAGGCTTTTATAACCTGAATAAACTTCCTTTTCACGTCTTGGCCATTTTTTCAAACTACTGGATTTTTCGGTCGCGGTTCCCATCAGGTCTAAAAAATCGGTCGGTGACTGCATTTGGAGCTTGTATTTTGTGTAGCGTAAAGTCATTCAACAGACAGTGTGTTTGCGTCTGCCTCAAGAGTGCCGTTTGTTTTCCCGAAAAAGTATCGGGCGATCTACGAAGCTCTCTTTGCACTATTCAGGGGGATTTCAGGCGGGTATTATGTTATATGCACTTGGACCACCACTTACCGTATTTACTCGAATGTAAGGCGAGCTTTTTTTAAAATCTTCAGTGATTTGGGGGTCCGCGTTATAATCAAGGCACTTCAAATCGTGCCTTACCGGTGCCACCCCACTGGTTCCTTAGAATGGCTACGACAAACCTAGCAGTCTTTCAACCTTGTCCTGGCAACATATGCACGCTGGCATGATCGAATCCAATCCGATCCTATCGTTCGCGATGTGTTTTGCGGGCGGTTGACTTCCTTTGTGCTTCCGCAACTTCGGCTCGAGCAAATGGCAGTGCCACAAGTTCAGTATGACGCCCATTTTAAAGAGGCCCTGCAACACTTTTTGAGCATGGTCAGAAAACGCTGCCAATTGGTTGTACAGGCTCCCGAGAACACGCAAGCCAAATATTATAGCGCAGCACGTGGCCTGGAATTCATATAAATTATCAAAGTAAGCTAAAAATTCCTTTCTCTTCTCTCGACAAATGACGAAGGAAGCTCAAAAATCACTCGTAGAAGGCCATCTATCAGCCATTGGCTGATTTGAACACAGCACGCTCGGCCGTTACAGGGATCGCCGCAAGAGGCCGCGACTTGTCCATGCGTGCGCACGTGATCACACTGAAAAATCTGCGTATTCGAAGGAAAAAAACAAAGAAAAAAGTGCTCATGGTCGCAAGGTGCACATGATGTATTTTTCTTGCACACACCATCTCTCCCTGCTTAGGTTCCAGCACTTTCGTCGGGACAAGAGAAGAGGGAATGTGATTGCAGCGTGCGACAAACCTTTGTAACTCCGCTTGTACTTAACGGATTCAGAAAATCCATTCCATGGTTACTTGAAAATGTGTTTCAGGGCCCCTTTAAGAGAAGTGCAATACTGACTGATGGCTGAAGAAATCGGGAACTCAGCCGCGGCTCACCGGCTAGATGTGGCGGAATCTACTATCCATTGATGGAAGCTCCAGCGTGAAACGCTCTTCGAAAGTGAGCCCAGCCAAAAAGGCTTCCCTGGACCTCGTTGTGGTCGCCACACAGAACTCAAAAATAAAAAAGTGGTGGAGTTTCTGACCAAGCAGCGAAACTGTCTATTGGGGGTCGATGTTGAGCTGATTCAGTGGAAAGTCCGAGACGTAGCTCGAGAGATGGGGATTCCACGGGAGAACTGCAAGGCTTCACATGAATGGGCACAAAAGTGCATGCGAAAAAATGAATTTTCCCTCCGGCAAATGTTGATAAGGCAGAAGCTACGAGTAGATTGCGAAGCGAAGCTAATGGAGTTTCAGCGCTATATACTCGACCTGTGCTGCTCGTCACAAATGCCGTTGGGGCACATTGGCAACACAGATCAGATTTGCGTTTTTTTTGTACATGCCTATGTCAAGGACTGTCAGCGAAGTAGGTGCCCCCCCTCCCCCCAAGTTTGCATAAGGACAACAGGCAGCAAGATACGCTAATCATGATGCTAGCCTGCTAGGCGGATGGGCGCAAGTTGCCGCCATACATCATTTCCGGTGCAAGACCATCCCGAAGGAGCTGTTCTGTGGGGATGTGATTGTCCGCTGCCAAAAAAATGGTTGAATGGACACTCCACTTATGCTTGACTAGGTCAAGACTGTGTGGTGCCGACGGCCAAGTGTGCTCCTCCACCCAGCCTACATCCTAGTTCTCGACTCATTTCGTTGTTACCTGACGCCCATACCTGCCAACTTGCCAACAGTGAAATTTGTAAAACACCCATCGGGAACGGGGGCGGAGGAGGTTACCGGCTTTTTTTTTATTTGTAGCTATGATGGATTTGCCTTTAGCGACAAGCATAATCACGTTTCGCCGCTATAAGTTGAATCAACGCACTGAATTATTTCCCCCCATTTTTGGCACCAAAAGATAAAAAAACAAAAAAACATCGCGAAGAACAAGAGGGGGGGTCACAAACGCAAGCACAAACATCAGTGTTGCGGTCTAATAATGGCTTAGAGGGGCCGAACACATGAGGGTAGGGCTTCCCACTAAGGTGAGAGTCTCAAACGGGGAACGCAAATTCTCCCGAAATTTCGCCTAATATGGGACAGTGCAGTTGGCTGCCGCGAAAGCGCGAGCCAAAGCTTTGTCTTTGCTCGTTACTAGATTCTCTGGACAGGAATTCCAAAACACTTCTAGCCTTTTCTTATGTTTTTACCGCCTTTAACCTACCGCTGCATCAGCCACGTACTAGCTCCGAGGACATTGGCTCTCGAATAGTGCTCTCGGAGCTCGTACGAGCTCCGAGAGCACTATCGCATTACCATAACTGCTCGGTGGTTGCGGCAAACGATAGTATTGTTTTCAATCCATGTGCGTTCAAAACTAAGTCGTTTTATGCTATCTATGATTGCAACTGCCACGGTTTTGCCCACAGAATTTGCGGAAAGCAGCGTTGCTTTGACTGTTCGAGCGTTAGCCATGCACACACTCTCAGAGTTCTGTCAGTAACATAGTCGTAATACATGATCGTGTCGAATGACCGCAGTTTTGTCCACAGCAGTTGTGGCAACAACAACCACACGCTCAGTAGAAGACAGCGCGTGTGCTGGTCACACATGTACTTCAGGAGCTTCAAGCACGCTGCTCTCGGTTGGCCTTCATTCGCAGTCTCAGTCATAGAGTTAATATTTTCAGTACTAAAATTCATATTCCACGCCGCGATTAGGACAAGTGTTTGAAACATTCGAATTTTGGTGCAATGGGCATATGAATTGGGCTAGAAAATTTCACAAATTCCTATTTACCGCAGTTTCGAATCACGGAGACTCTACTGTACATTTAGAAGGACGCCTCTCAAATTCGTTCATAATAAAATGCGACGGGCTCGCAAAAAGCTTGAAATGGACTGACCTAGATTTTTGTCAATGCGGCCAGATCTCGCACACAAATTTCGATTTCCGAGAGATTTTCATGGCAACCGTACAAACAGAAGAAACGGTCAAAACTCTGGAGTCTCCCGGACAGCACGGGAGATATGTGATCATAACATATTATTCTTTCCTGGTGGCAGAATATAACACAACGCCGTTTTTGTGGCCTCCGCAACTAGCTACGGCAATGCGCCGTAGCCAAACGCGGAGGCCACATTATTTTACTAATTTTATTTTTTTATCAGAAATAAAATATTTTTCACAAAATTTCAGGCTAGATTCGTAAAATTGTAAGCGCGGTCGAAATTAGTACATTTTACGGTAAAATCAGAAGAGTTGGCAGGTATGGACGCCCGAAGTGAAGAAGTGATGCAGGAAACTCAGGCACACCTCGCAGTTATTCCCGGTGGTATGATGCCCGTGCTACAGCCATTAGATGTCCGCCTGAACAAACTACTTAAGGATAGAATGCAGCAGCTGTACGGAGAATGAATGCGAGAAGATCGGGCTTTGACACCTACGGGTACATGACCTAGCGCCACGAAGCTTACCGAGTGGGTGTCCACTGATTGGGACGGCCTGCTGCAGGACATCATAGTTTGCGCGTTTAATAATTGCTGTATATCGAACTATATGGGTGGCACAAAAGATAACCTCATCTGGGAGGAAGAAAGTGACAAAGAGGGCTCGACCACCAGTGATAATGACGATGAAAGCGACGAATGAACAAAGCATTTTATATTTAAAATCTGAGATGTCTTTGTCACAACCATGTGCAGCAAATAGAAGTACTTCTTCCCCACAGCTTTACTCGCATTACATTCGTGTTCTTTTTTTTTTTTTTTTTCGGCACTGAAAAGTCACCCCTCGCGTTATCACCGTGGTCGCCTTACATTCGAGTAAATACGACATATATATATAATATGTCCCGTGCAGAAGCTACTTATATAAGACCACTAAATTAAGCAAACAGCCCACTTTGGAAAAGTTTTTCTAGTAAATAGCTAACAGGTATAGAGTTTTACTTATGATGTCTCACCTGATAACTTCATCAAATGTCTGGTGGATTATGTCGGTCACCCTGCCTATATCAGCTTTACTCACGCCGTGCAGGCCAACTGAGAAAAATGCTTCTTTCAAGTTGGCATCGTATCTGTAATTGCAGAATATTTTCAAGTAAATCGGTAACCATCTTTGCACAGTTCCAAGCAAAAAATTCCAAGCAATGCCCAAGCACTGTTCCAAGCAATGCCCAAGCACAGTTCCATGCAAAAAAAAATTAAAACAAACTTCACAGGTGAACACTTCTAGAATTAGCTCTGATGTTCTCTCCATGACCAGAAATAAGTGTAAACAAACTTAAAAGAAAAAATTATGGTACACCCACAAGAAAACTGATATAGATCTCTAGGAAGGACCAGGAACACATGTAAACAAACTTAAAAAAAAATTATTTTACACTCACAAGGAAACTGATATATAGAGTTCTAGGAAGGAACACTTTCTAAGTGAACAACAATTAATTTTAGTATGATTTGAACCCCGTACTAGTGCATTTATTTATTTACAGAAAACTGCAGGCTCACATCAGAGCCCACGCAGGAGTGGAAACAAGAACTTGTACAAAAAAATTCATGATCAATATCGGTAGTCTACATACACAATGCACACACAAAATTAACACTCTCATACATACAAGTGTGCATAATCAACAGCATTTTCACCACGTATTTCAATAGCAATTCGAGACCAGATTGAGTATATGTACACAAAACTATTTACACCAATACATACATGCACATATAACACATGACACAGGAATAAGAGTATTATTACGGTAACCCATTCGTGTAAACAGCTGGGATTACACATGCACATACATTTCTGTAAATATGAACTGAAAAAGAATAGTGCTTTGGGTTATGGTGTGATGAAGTCGAGGGAGTGAATGTGTTGTAGTGACTCAAACGGCAGGGCATTCCAGTCTCTAATGGTCCGAGGAAAAAAAGAGAGCTTAAATGTGTTGGTACGTGTCTGGAATGGTGTTATCGACGCAGCATGGCGATTTCTAGTTAGTCGTGACGTCAGTAGTAGAATGAACATAGAGCCATCTATGCAAAATTTTAGTTTTTTAAATGAAAAATAATCTTCATTCTCGGAATTTCGTGATGAAGCTGAAGTTATTGTATATTATTTTCTTGCATGATAGTTGTGGGGGAGTCTGCCATGTGATACTTAGAAAATTAAAACATAATGGATTACGGCAGTCGTTTTAGCATATGAGGTAACCCCAAGATTAGCTGCCTGCAATGTGAGGGTAAAGCAAAATTGACAACTCGACAGAGCACCAAAAATGGCAAATAAGTTCTACAGAATCCCGCAATGTACAAAGGCCATCTTGAACTTAGAAGCATGCATATGTGCCATGGCGGAAGCCCCTTCAGAATGTAAAAATGGCTTGCAACAAGCCAAGAAGTCTATACTCATAACCCTACTTTTCAACAAATGTTTGAAAATACGGTATTACAGTTAAAGCTCAATGTAAATAGGTTCCTGATCTAATGAAATAATTTCCGTTCCCCAGAAGCTACCTATAAGAATCAATGTTGTCATCAACCCAAATTAACAAAACTAACTTGGTCACTAAACATGAAGTTATTCTGTAATAAATAGTTTAAAAAAGCAGTGACTTTTTCCAAATTTTCATATAGATGGCTTTCTCTTCGAGAATGCACAAGAAAACAAGAACATTTAAGCAGCTTAATCCCAGCCCGAGCTTTATTTTTACGAAGCTGCATGTCACACACATGCATAAAACAACGGACTCAGCAGCCAGTAGTGCTCTTTATTACCAGCAGGCACTGGGGGTGGCAGTGCTTGCTTTTATTACTTCACGGTTTATGCAAGAGAAGGCACTGATAGTTTCCTTGCAACTTTCTTGCTCAGCCTGCTTGCACAATCACTGCATTTTTTCTCTGAGCTATTGCAGAACAGCAGCCTGTCATAGCTTCGCATGACAGTCTACCCGGCTTGCATCACCTGGACATGGAACCTCCCATGCCTGGGAAACATGGGAAGCTCCATGACTGCCTTTAGGACACCCTCCAGACCTTTCACATGCACAGCATGGATCCGTGGCAAATTAAATGGTGTGGTAGCTTTTGGGTGTCACTACATTACAATTTTAGATTTCGAAAAACTGAACAGTTTTTTTTTTTCAAAATCTTCTTCCATATTTTACAAGCTCCCAAACAAAAAAACATAATTTCAGCCTAGCCACCACTTCGTTGAATCGAGTTTCACCTGCATTTACAATGCAAGTGAAATAAATGTAGGTATGCCATCTGGAAGGAGCGAGATCAAGGTAGCTCAAATCAGGTTGAGGCCTGTCTTTGAAAAGCCAACAAGCACTGAATAAACTAGTTTATCATTAGTCTTTTTTTGCAAGTACTTGAATGCTTGGTTTATCTTCTGCCTGGGATTAAGCTTCCCTTTGGTAAAATGATAGAATATTAGACCAGTTATGCCATAATTATGCTAGGCATCATACTATATGTGTTCAGGCAACTACGGTAGCCACACAACACAAAAGTACAAAACAGCGAAACAATCACATTTGGGCTTTTAAAACAATACATGGCAAAGCGAATTACGTATTGAGAACAGCACAGAGTAGTGCACTTTCCCAGATAACAAACCTTTTTGAAAGCGTACACCAGCCCTACGGTGTACAGCCTTTACAGTAACAGCAAAATTTACTGCGCTTTATGAAGAACGCATAGTAAGCTACCAAAGCATGTATACAACCTCAACACAAACGGCAATAACAACACAAAAAGCATCAGATTGATTTCTAGGCTTCGCTAAATTAAACATTTGGACATACCCAAGTGATGGCGTGTAGTCAGCTCCAATTCCTGCTTGAAGTAAGTTTCTGTAGAACGGCGAGTTAGGTCCATTCACTAGGAGGTGACTTAGTATTGACATGGCAAATGACTCCCGAGTATCTGTGGCACTGGGTGATATAAAAGGCAATAAAAAAAATATAACATCAATTCTAGTACTTAAATGACAACACACAAAGAGATGTAGCCAAGCTTTTGAGCCCAGTAACTGTGGCTATGTGTAATGTAGACACACACACACACGTAAATACATATCAGCAGCATGTGCATGAAAACACACACAGTTTAGTTAAGTTTCATCTTTGCACTGTCTCTGCGTGCATGCATGCACACAGGGACAGTGCAAAGATGAAACTGAAGTTCAGATCAGTGAGAACACCAAAAATAAGGTGATGCCTGAACACAGAGTGACCAACCTCTCGTTACATACATTTAATAAAAAAAAAACACAGAGTGATGCCATCATTCCATTTGATCAGCAACATGCTGCACAAATTTGTAGACCAGTGGTTCTCAAAAGGGGGTCCGCAGACCCTAGGGGGTCCACGAAGTTATTTCTATGATCCGCGAAACCCTCACTCACATTTCTCTGATCGATATGCGAGGTTTAACGTCCCAAAACCACCATATGATTATGAGAGAGGCCGTAGTGGACGGCTCCGGAAATTTCTACCACCTGGGGTTCCTTAACATGCACCCAAATCTTAGCACACAGGCCTACAGCATTTTCGCCTCCATAGAAAATGCAGCAGCCGCAGCCGGGATTCGATCCCGCCACCTGTGGGTCAGCAGCCGAGTACCTTAGCCACTAGACCACCGCAGCGAGGCTCTTGAGAAAATATGCACAGTAACATGTGTGCCTTTTGTAATGGGTGGCCGGCTTCAAACCATTAAGTCATCATGATGATCACATTTTCTGATGCCCAATGGCAATGTACGCTTGTACAATGCAATATTACCGCAATGTTATGTTGTATTGTGAAGCCTGTATACAGGACGCATATGTTTGTAAAGCATGAAAGTTATTACCGCTGACTGCATTTCTAAGCAGAAGCAGTTATTTTCACTGTATCTTTTAGACGTGCAAGTGTGTCGCAGAACACCTCCTTGCCACACAAACAGCCTGGGTTCGATCCTCACACTGACCAAAAAATTTTTATGTTATTTTTTTAATTTCATTTGCTTCTTTCTTGGTTTTTCAGTCACGGACAAAGTGATGCTTTTTCCCTCCCAACTAACAACCCACACACCGACTCCGATGCCAACTTCGACACTGACGCCAATACCCGAGTTTCTGCGAAACAAGCTCTTTAATTCTATCGCATTGAAAGAACACCCTGTGCTCAATCGACAGATGAGTGTACACAGGGGGCACAAGTACAAAGACCAATGAGATGACTCAAAGAAAGTAATGGTACCTTTATTTAAGGAATCATCGTCGTGAAACTAGCTCACTCTTCATATTTCTAGCAGGAGGTTTTTGTGGACAATATTCTGACCCCCGTATTCAGAAACGCTCCTCGACTCGAATTCCATCCTTCACTTGACCGAGTTGAGCGCTGCGCCGCTGCTCGACTGAAATTGATGCTGCGCTTCTCAAGAATCGCTGCAGAATATTGCCGATATGCAGTGACTTGGTCTGCCAAGAGACGGCGCTACCATCGACTTTTTCAAGTCGAAGAAAGCCCTTGAGTGAAGGAGCGTTTGTGAATACAGGGGTTAGACAAGCACTCATGGAGACAGTTTTACCTTCACAAAATTTTGTGCGGCTCAGAACTGAACTCCTCCACAACAATTTTTCTGGCACTGTGCCAAACTTGCTACATTCTCACAGGGCCAAAAGCGTGGTTCAATTACAAAGATAGGCCAAGTCTTGCGAAAGTGAAACCACGTATGAAAGTGAATGTGATTAAGTCACCATCTGCAGTATAGAACTATTTTGAATTTAAGAAAACTGAAAACCTAACAACCATTTCCTTTCCGGGCTGTATTAACACTGGCCCCATGAGAGAATAGACGATTTGTTGAGGCTGATCTGCCCTTGTGTGACAGAGATTCCCAGCTCCTTGCGTTTAGAAGCAGGAATCATACCAAATGTGCTGCCATGTCACAAATTAAAAGAGTTAAAAGAGTTGATGCGTGAACGGTCACAGGTTCAATGCGGTGCAGATTCGAATAAACAAAAAGATTTCACTGCTGTCGACTTGTCTATGAATTGCGTTGAAATATAAACGTACTGGTTGCCAACATATTCGTTATAAAAAAATTGACTCTTGCAATTATTCTAATTTTATGTAAGAGTTTACATACTTCAAGCAACAAGAATCGTGAAAAAAATATACATAACAAAAATTAGGCATGGTAATTTGATTTTTTTTACTAATCTATGAAGCTAAAATGTCGAGCTTTTACTATTACAGCATAGCGCTTGCACTGAGCAAAATTTTTTAAAATCTGCATAAGCAATGGCAAGATTAATTAAAGTAGTAATTTTATAAACTTAAATTGCACTTGGGACGAGACACCAGAGCAGAAGCAGACTGGACAAAAGCAGTCCTGTCTGCTTCTGCTTCTACTCTGGTGCCTCGTCCTTATAATATAGCTCTCATAATATGTCTTACCAACGAGCCATCCTAACGCAAGCTTCTCAGCAAAAAGAGTTGATGACATCAGCTTAACCTCCCTTTACTTAAACTAATACAGTATTTACTCAATCATTACACGACCATGATTGTAATGCAATGAGTGACTTTTCGTTGCGTCCAGAAATAAATAGTTATTTCACCATTACATTGTAACGCGAGGGTCAACATTAGGCATAAAAAATCCAGAATAAAACTCGTGTTACATTCAAGTAGACAAGGTACATATGATTAACACAGATCATCAGATTCATCAAACTTTTCTCCTCTAAGAATTGCTCATGCGTAAGTTGAATACCCTCAACATTTAGAATGCGGTAGGCAGATGCTGTACTACCAAGCAAATGTTAGCCGGTGGTGAAGTGTCAGTCAAGGGGTGCAGCCATGATATGGCACACGGGGCACATGTTCGTCCTGATATTTCTGTGTGCCGTGGGATACAGAGCACTAAACAATGCTCAGCCACACTACGCTGCCCAGCCCCACTTCGGATCAAGGACGTGACCCCACCGAGAAATATTTCTGGCTATGCCACTGTAAAGTGTAGAGAGCAACTGGGCATATTCTACCATGTTCTTTTCACAGCTTGCACTGTGTGCCAGAGTTTTCTCGACGAACATACTATACAAAAGTGCAAATAACAAATTGATGAGAACTAAATGACAATGATGCCACTTTTCTTTCTTCAAGTTTACTTCACACTTATACTGATAACATGGAATCATTGCCTGTTAGTTTTCCTTAACATTGTGCCTAACAATAAAAAACGAGTGCTTAAATTTCCAAATTCTTTTTTTTACTCATAGCAAGGGTCTCATAACGAAGCCCCGGCAGGGGTGATGCTTTTAAATAGTAGTGTGCGAGAGATTACTGGTCAGCTGCCAGCTCTTAATAAGGTCATGTGCTATGTGAAGCCAACAGACAGAAGAGTGGTCCGCACTCGCCGTCATGGCTAGTAACGATGCTGACTGACACTCTCTGGTTTAAAGGCACATGTATGCCCCATAAAGTGGACAAAAGATGACCACCACTACAGCTAAGTTGGTAGAGCATTGGATGCACTATTTGAAGGTTGCAGGCTTGGTCCTTGAAAGCTGAATTTATCTTTTCGTCCACTTTTCTTTCTTCATTTTTATACTATACTATTGCTACTAATAACATTTCCTATGTTTTCTTTGGCATCACTTTCTGTTAATTCTCGTTATTATTGTGCCTAACAAAGAAAAATAAGTCCTTAAATTTCTACATCTTTCCTTCAAAGAACAATTTGCAAATATAAAAAGCAGATGCACTCACTCATTCATCGCATACGTTACTGCAACTGTTGACTGCTTCTCAGGATTTGCAGCTAGTGGGTCAGGCACACAAGTCATGGTCTCCATTTTCTGCAATGCGTTTTTTCATATCACTTTTTTTTTACAGAGAACAATTGTATTGGAATGCAACAATAAACATAAATGCAAGGGCTGCTCACCGGTTCTTTCCACCTTGGCTCAGGAGGCACGACAGAGCTGCCATCAATTTTCTCAAACTTTGACAAGGCCAACTCATCTATTAGTGACAGTGTCTTTTCCAAAGGAAAGTTACCATAGGTGAGGAACCTGGTCAAAAACAACAACAAAAGAAATAAGTGTTGGCCATTTACTTTTAACTAATGTTAAGTTTGTAACATGCTTCAAAGTGGCTTAACAATGAAAATTCTTAAAATGAGTCTAATTAAAATACATAATACATGATTTGCACTCCTGTAGCTAACAGAGTTGATGTGACTCCCCATCAGTTAATCATATCTACAGCATCTTGCACTTTGAAGTGAATATGCACATCAAAGGGCCAGCAAACAGGCTCTGACTTTCTTTTACGACCACCAAATAACCTCACCAATTGATGCAGTAAACCGCGGCCATCACATTTTAAGAATATTAGCGTTGCGCGCCGAGCAGACTCTCCATTTTCAGAAACAATTCTCATGTTTGACCAATCTCCCTTGAATGTGCAGTGATGCAAACTTGCACATGGGCAACTTTACGTACCACTGAGCTCGTCAATCGCTCCTCTGCCCTACGAAACGACACCTTGGCCCTGCGGCCATGCAGTTTGGCCACTGTAAAGGGTAAGAGGTCGATGGTAGGTACGGCGGGATTTCTTTAGGGTAGCTGGCTCCCCACCGTCGTCCGCATAGCCAATTTTTGCCAGTGAGGAGATGCGTTCATATGGAGATAGAACGAAGGTTTATTTACATGATGTAATGAGTACAGTGAAACAGCAGATTCAGCTCAGATTCAGAATTATGGACAACAGAGATTCAGCTCCTATTTACCAAATGACTTCGGCTTTTATAGCCCATCGTCTCCTTACACGGAGTTCCAAAGAAGGCAGTGACCACTCTTGCCATGAATCAAGTGATGTGAAGTCTCAGTGGTCCCCCCATCAGAAAGGGTGCAGAAATCGGGCCACTCATGAGAAGAAGAATGTGGGTGAGAATGTCCAATGGTTTTCATGAACGCACCACACAATGACACACCCGGCCCATGCCTTGAAGGCATCGCAGGGCAAGGAGGTAGAGTCCGGTGGAGAGAGAAAGTTGAGCTCCTCCGGGGAGATGACCGCTGACACGAACGTCAGCAGCGGTCCATGGCTGCTTTCAGCTACCGGCTTCCAGAACTTTCTCGAACATGGCAGTCCATGTTTAAGAGAGTTCTGCCGTTTTGTAGTGCCCGAGACTATTGGGAGAAGTGGTATTGCCAGAACGAAAGCCTCCGCGATAAAGAGGCGCCTCTCTACTTTACCACAAGGGGACTAGTGCTCGTCACACCACGCTTTCTCCCCGCACCACTATGACACATGCTCATGTGAGGGAAGCCCTGCTCGGTCGTTGGCTGCAAGCTGATGACGTATCGTTGACATCGTGTCACGATGGCTAAGTGGGTGGGGTCACGATGACGGGTTATGCCTTCTCCTCTCTATGATAGAGAAGGATGGCGAGGCAGCGTGAAAATATGAGACCAGCTGAAACAACCCCAGTAACTTCCTTATAGCATGAATTTGCACAATTCTTGCGGCAGATTTTTCCACAGCAAAAGTGCACATATTTCTCTTCATCACAATTTTTGGACTTAGCGTTGTTTTCTGACCCTTTAAAACAACACTTCTTAGAACAACTGTTCAGAACGTTTATTCAGAGCAATGACACTTGACACATGTCCATCGTTATACAGAGTATCGTCATTGATACTATTATGTATGCATATTGGTGTATATTGTTGCACATTATACACCCGAGCTATTTTTCCCTAATCCAAATCCAGTGCCAATGCCTCGAAGCACACTACCTTGATGAACACCATACAGAGAAAACCACATAAAGAGAATGTTTATGGTGTTAAAAAGAATAAGGGGTGAACTAATATTTCTACTTCAAGGAAACCAACAGTGTCATTTTAGCCCAACCACAACCATAAGCTCAAACCCCAGCGTCAGCTTGTTGCTTTACAAACAAACCTGGCATTGCTTGGGTGGTAGTGCTTGTGATGAAATTCCTTGAGCTGCTCCCAGGTGAGGTCAGGGATCGAAAGAGGATGACCACCACTCACATGGCCATACACACCGCTTGGGCACAGCTTGTTGACAATGGCCTGGTTGAAATCATTGCTTGAGTTGGACTGCAAGGACAAAGAAATGATATGAAACATTCATGGCTGCAACAACAACAATAGAGCGCATTATGTACACTGCCATTCTTTATGAAAGTAAACACGCGATTGCGTGACCTGCTCTCTACAATGGCTGCCTACAGTATCTTGCAGTGCTTGTCCAGCGGTCATAACTCGTTTTGTTTGCCAACAAATGGCGCCAAAATCCAACGTCTTTTCTTTTGCTGTCGGTTGATGATGGTCCTTTAGGAAGCCACCGCAGAGCGCAGGCCATGCGCTCACGTGTTCCCCATCATTAAGGATGACAGTGTAAGCTGGTACTGAAAAATAGAAGCCACATTAGCATGCACTTACATATAGAGAATCCTCACTCAATCAAAGGCAAGACAAGTTGTGACCTTTTGGAAGCTTTTAAAAGCTCCTGTCAATAGATCACACCACAAATTTTGTCTATACATAGGAAGGTTACAAAGGGATGATCCAAGTGGCGTTTCACTAAAATATTATTTAAATCTATTCATATTTCTTGAAGTTTTGGTGACTAACATGTGCCCAGAAGGTTAGAGTCACCTCGGGAAAAATATTTCAAAATTCAGAGCCCTTCCACTACTGTAAAGAAGCCAGAAAAGCTGTGACTATGGTAGGTCTGGTATAGTGAATACTGCTATACTGCCTTTATAATATCATTCTCAACTATGCTGAGCAAATAAACAGGTATACACTCAAGAATTCTGATTTTTTTTTTCCCCAAAATTTTCTTTTCGCACATTTTCTCGCTTACCATACGTCTTCTTGCAAAAAGTGTGGTGTTTTGATATTGTGAAAGAGTGACTTACCAATACAAGAAAGCTAGTTTTTCTCTTTAGTGTCTTTTTGAAGGGGTCATGACACCCAATTTTCCAAATCTGTGTTGTGTCGGTTGAACCTTGTACGTTCACATACAAGCTGTTGAAATTTTAGCGCATTTGGTCGTGCCATTAATTTATAATCAAATACTTTTATAAACAAGTGAGCAGCCTGAGAGTTGAGTAACAATGGCAAGCTCGCTAGCCGTTACATAACAAGCCGCTTGCTGGGTGAGCTGCTGCACAGTCTGCATTCCGGAGGACAATAGTGTTCCATGGTCAGCTGCATTTGTAATCGAGCCTTTTCTGCAATGTTCAACTTGCACTGGAACTAAATGACTTGCAGCTGTTGAAAAAATGCTACAGTGTCACTCATTTAGCGCTGGTACTTGCAGCAAACAATTTTCATCCCCTGTCTGAGCTCAAAGTGTCCTGTGAATGAGCAACGCACATGCCGTTTGCCACTATATGGATAAATATTTATTGAAACTCCTCACAGGCAGTGCCATGGTTAAGCATTACACCTGCTATCTTTTTACCGGAATCGAATGCTATCGACAGAGTTCAAGCAAAGATTTGGCCAAAATGTATATCGTGAGTAAACCTCGCACCGCACTGACATGCCATTCAGTTTGGCTAATGTTTACTTACATATGCCGCATGCAACAACCGATGAAAAGCAACGACCCAAAAACACAGAATTGTCACGACCACTTATTTATTATGTTCAGCACCAAAGGTAGTGCATGCATATATGCTAGCAAACAAAAATCTGCTGGCTTTACCAATTCCACTGCGCAAAGTAACACTTGCTCTCAAATGCAGCGTCAACAGACCATGTATCCCAAGCTCGCTTGTCAACCTGCCACGCTTGAAATAAAGCTACTTATCATTGCGGAAGGCCGTCTGCAACGTCTGCCACAACACTGAAGTCATTGGCAATTGGGTTCGCCCCATCTTAGACGCTTTCTTCATCGCTCGAGCTATTGGCGATGGGTTGAAGTCAAAATGCGCAGCGTACGCGATGCCGTCGCCACTTCTGCTGCTCGACAAACCACATGCTGCCGTAATTGCGAGGTGATGATGGGGCCAACGACATGGCCATGTCACCGGTAACACGCCGCAACTCTTGCAACACACTCGCAACACAGTAAACACGCTGACCGCTTGCAGTAGGTGCTCTTTGGTAGCAGATGATGACAATCCTCCTTACGGCTTGTGATGTTACGCACGCTATGGCAAAACTACGGTCGCCGGCGGTGGGCAGAGTTTAAGACCAATGATTTCTACGGCTTATTTTGGACTGAAATAATCTTTTACAGCGCAGTTTTCACATGTGTACAAGCATATATGACCCTCTACCTTCGTTTTTGGCCGAAAAACCATCAATTGTTGGGTAGCCATGTCATGACCTTTTTAAGCAAACAAGACCATTTACATCACACGTTTGTTATACACTTTGTCCAATGCACTTATATCAATATCCGACAAACACAAGCACCCGTGCACCTCGCATTCATTTCGTCCCTTATTAAAGAAATTTTTTTCCGCAAAGAAATGATGGACTACCAACTATCCGACCATGCACGCTGTCAAAAGTTCTACTCACAAAGACACCTTTCATTTCATTGTACACTACTCCTTTGATGACAATGGGAGAAGATTTGTCCTTGGGATCAGTATGCTCTAGCCTCCATCCCTCCTGCCTGCAAAGAGTGTAAAAATTCATGCTTAGCACTTACCGTAATTACTCGAATCTAACGCGCACCTTTTTTCCGGTTAAGCGAGTTCATAGATCGCATGCGCGTTAGAATCGAGTACGAAAAAAAATGAATACGGTCATTCTATTGCCATCGGCATTTCCAAAATGGCCGCCCTCTACGTGCGTCGGCATTGCGCGTCAGCCATTTCTGCCTATGTCCCCCTACGTGCGTCGGCATGGCGCGTCGGCCATTTCTGCCTATGTGTTTCCCATGTGCGGCATTTCGTACGTGTGCTGAGGAGTTCGTCATCTTGTAGTGCATTAGCATCGACGGCACAAAAGGGCAGACTCCAAGAGCTCGACGGGTGCACCACAATGCCGCTTTTAAAAGAAAAGTCATCGCGAAACGGACGGAAATAGGGCTGCGTCGCAGTCATTCAGAGTTCCCGAAACGTGTGTGCGGGACTGGCGGAAACAAAAGCAGAAGATTGTCGAGATTCACGCAAAGGCTTCAGTGGACCACAACAGGGTCGGTTTCCGCAAATTGAAGAGCTACTGGGCGAGTATATGATTGAGCAGTGAGCGGCACAGCAACTCGTGACGACAGAACTGCTCCAAGTGCAGGCTATGTAGTTAGCCTTAGAAAAGGGGCTAATGCGGAGCCAGTTTAAAGCGAGCAGGTGCTGGCTAACTAACTTTATGAAGAGGAAAGGCTTTTCCCTCTGAAGGCGAACGGGCATATACGAAAAGTTTCCGGAGGAGTACGATGAAAAGCTTCACAGTTTTCAGAGGTTTATCCTAAACTTGCGGCACAACAACGGCTACCTGCTTGGGCAAATCCCGAATGCCGATCAGACGCCTCTTTACTTCGACATGCCTGGCACCACAACCGTCAAGAACAAGGGGGCGAAGCAAGTTCGCGTGCTGACATCGGGCCACGGTAAAACTAGAGTGACGGCAATGCTCCGTTGCACGTCAGGTACAAGCTTCCCCCGTACCTCATATTTAAACGGAAGAAACTCCCGAAAGGAGTCGTTTTCTTGAATGGTGTGATCATGCGGGCCAACGAGAAAAAGAGGTGCGCATTGCAATCGATGCTTTTTTTTTTTTTTTTTTTTTTGTCGTGGGAACCGAGTGCGCGTTGCAATCGAGGGCGCGGTAGAATCGAGTAAATACGGTAACTATGTTTCATTAAAGTGGGAAGAATGAGCAAATGAAAGGCAAAGTTAAAGGGGATCCCATCGCATAAGAAAAGAATGTGATAAATCAAGGAGACGAGACACAACCGCATAAAAAAAAGATTAAAAGTAGCATTCTGGTTACAACATAGGAGCCTAGTTCACAATGTAAACAAGGCGTCTAAGCTTTTGCAGTCCAAATGTACCGTTCAGAGCAAGCCTGACATAACATACTCAATGTCTCCAATTTGCACACAGTTGAGACAACTAAATTACATCATTTTACAGTAATAATTCTGTCCTAATATTTGTAAGGATATAAGCAAGGACACCGCAATGCTAAATCAAACTTACATGAAATCCAACTTGGCCAGCTGTGGGAAAAACACCGCATCTAGATAAATTCTCATAAGATTCTCATAGTCCTTGATGTTTTGCGTCGAAAAAGGATAGAATGTGACATCACAACCTGCAATAATGAGAAAATTTTTCAACAAGCATCATCCTCAACGTAGGTATGAAAGAAGTAAACATGAAACACTATATCCATCATGAGACCCAAAATCTTTATAAAAGCTACTGAGCAGAAGTTCTGCAACATCTAGACTGTTTTCAAGATAAGTAATCAGTAAACAGGTAGATTCTAAGATATTGATGATCCAAATTTGTGTCTACAATTCAAATGATCTATGATTTCAGCCATCATATATTTTAGTCTCGAACCTGTAAGCATTAAAATATATGTGTGCTCCAAAGTATTCTTATGCATGTGTTTAGTTTTGATAATAAATAGACTATCACTAGAATTTATGAGCTCTAAGTATACACTCCATGTGCCGTGACTGGGGCGCTACGCCTGGTCGTCAGAGGAAACAGTTGCCGAGAGTCTGAGCAGAAGCAAAGGCTCTCCCATGCCCGCTAGCACGTACCTTATTAAAATAAAATGAACTGCTGCGTAGTCAGTTGTACCAACAGGTACATGTCGTGTCCTTATGAGAACGAAGTCTCACAGTTTGCCGAGGCTTCCCTGCTTTATCGGGCAGTGGCATAAGTGGATCACGGCTGTGAGACAAAAAAAAAAAGTTTTGTTCCCGCTACTTCTGCCCTCTCGCACTCCGTGCTTTTGTTTTTTTTGTGCCGCTAGCACCACTGCATTTCAACCCCGACGAAGCGAACTGGGGCATCTCTCAGCTCTCGAAGATATGCAGTGTCCACTTGGTTGCGGGTGCGCTGTCCAAGGATGTGTCGTCCCCGATGACCACACCAACGATATTTCCTGACAAGTGTCAAAAGCGGTCCGTGCTTGCTCAAGATCAGCTTAGACGCTATGAAATCTGAGAGTTCCACAAAATAGACACCATCTTTCTAAACTGGCTGTCAGCCATTGACATTGTTTGATGCGATTAATTTATTGACGTCTCCTTAGTCAATATTTCGTCAGTGTGACGACTCGTGTGAGCAATATCACTTTAGTACTGGCGGAAGCACAGCTGTTATAGTATATATGCGCTCACTGGGAGTCGGTCCCCTTCCCCGAGATGTCGACAGATGATATCAGATGGTCGCGGCTCCTCGGAAAGCTCCAGGGATTAAAGCAAAAATAGTACGAGTGGGGTAGTCGACACTCGAAACCTTCGAGAGGCGAGATAAAACGATCATGATGAGCTATGATAATGCTGCGACAATTTCAAGCAAAGCACTTTGCGACTTGCGGGACTCAGTGGCTGCAAAGTGCCATGATATGAAGCCGCAACAACAGCGCGTGATATGAAGCCGCAACACCAGGCCACTGGTCACGATTTCTACAGTGAGTGTCTGTAGAGCCATCGACTATTCTAAGTGGTCTGAGTATTTTGCAAATACATGAGTAGTGGCCACACACCAATAACATCCTAAGTGTGAAAGAACGAAAGCTAACCTTGATATTGACAAGGGTAGCTATGCGGGCTTTTTAGCTGGCAAATTGCCTGACAAAGCACTAACCTAGCGGCCCATAACCAATGCCATATAGCTGCATCGAACTTCTCTTCCTTCCCCCCCTACCCCTCGCCTTCCTTTGACATCTTTTGACTTAGAGAGACCTTGCAAAACTTTTTCAAGCAATCATCAAATGGTTTTATGAAAGTAGTTTATTGCCTCACGAATCAATTGCAGCCAAAATGTTCGTGATCTGTCTAGTACGAGTGGAGTTCCAGTGATTTGTCACATGCTTCAAGCACTTTCTCTCTTCTTTCGTACCAGTGAGTAGAAGTATGGTGAAAGCTACGCGGAGGGAAGGGGGCATCACAAGGAGGGAAGAAAATCTGCCTGTTCGTCAATGTACGTCATGACCTTTTTTTTTTTTTTTTTTTTCGAATGCATGGCTGACTACTTTCATTGCGATTACAAGCCCGCTTGCCGGCATGTGGCAGCATCCCGCAGTAGGCGCAGTACCTATGCAGCTCATGATGCTCAAATCAGCCAATGGCCATTGACTCTGAGTTTATAGCACAATCACTTGGGCTTATGGCATCATTTCTAGAGGGAAGAGCAAGCTATTTCTAGCTCACTTCAAAAATTATTTGTTGACTCCAGGCCACATGCTGCGCTTGAATGATTGGCTCATGTGTTCTCTGGCGCCTCAACTACCGATCAGCAGCGTTTTCTGCCCATGCTGATGCACTGTTGCCAGAACCCCCTAAGCTTATTTTGCATGCTTCAAAGGTAAGGAAACTACTTATATTACATGAATAAAGCATTTACCAAGGGCATTCCAAAAATTATGCCATTTGTACCATAAAACTGGAACAGGAACACACAACAGACACCAAAACAAGAGCGTATCTGAGGTTTTATTGGAATAAGAAGTTTGTGTTCTGCATGGTACCGTGAAACAACCATAGCACATAAAATATTAACACCTTCTGTCGCAGAAGTAGTGAAAGCATGAGTAGTGATCTACCTTCTGCCTTTGTCGATTGGATATGATTCAAACATGGCAGTTTACAGTGACAATGCCTCAGCTTTTAACACTTGTGCGGTGGCACAGACGATTTTCTGATGCTCGACAAACCTTGACAACGCAGAATAGAGTGACCAACTATCACATGTATACTTGCCAACCTAGCAGCATGAAAATTCGGGAAACCGCACTGGGGCAGGGGGAAAAGGGTGGCATTTTAGAAATTACTAAAACAAACACTTACGACCCACGGTCATTGCTTCCGTCCACTGCAATTGCAAAAACAAAGCATTTCAGAGTGTCCCCCATTGTGTTTTTGGCATCTGCAGCTATTACACCGACGATGGCAGTTGTTTTCATACATCCACACCCGATTATGATGATGTATGGCGTTTAGTGGTGCAAGGGCCATGGTTTGGTACACCCGTGCTGCTTTGCAGAACTTCGCACTTCGGGAACATGTTTTGAAACAACGGTCCTGCATGATCATTAACGCTTAGTGGCAGGTAGTGTTCCACAAGAAATGCCGTGAGTAGGCATTCTACATAAATCGCACCGTCTTCACAGCTCTTTTAGAAAAAACTTCCGATGTTGTCCTGCCCTCCAACAGCACGAATGTAGTTGTGATGCTTCAGTGAAGCAATGCACACTTTTATGTCGGCTTTGCCACCATGCAAAACGCTTACATTAAAGGTGCACGTAGTACAGAATTTGGACTTGTCACCTTTCTGTGAAGTTGCAAAGCATGGAAGCTCAGCTGTGTATGTGTCCAGAAACACTTGCAAGTACTTCTTTGCTTTTGACAACCCTATCGACCTTCCAACTGAAATTGGGAAAACACACAAACCCCACAACCACGTAACAAACACAATTGACACCGAGGCAGGCGGCATAGGCCTAGCATACAAAATGCGGGAGCCAAGACAGACAAACTGATACAAAAGTTGTGGTACCTCTTTCCTGGCCTTTTTTTTTTGGTACGTAGGCGAGAGCGTCCCCCGACTACTGATCTTCGCTCAGATGCGCGGTACATACTGAGCGTCACTTAGCAGTATGCTTACAGTGAACTAGAAAGTGAAGCACCCCAACTGTTGCAGCAAGGAAGGCTGACGTACACGCATTAAAAAAAGAAAAAAAGAAATCCTCTGCTGTGATGGCCCCTGGTCAGTAGATGAGAAATAGCATTCGTACAATTGCTAGACTAGGTTGAAATTCGGGAGAGTGCAGGTATGCACTTGGTACTGAACCAAGAACTGATGTGCAGAAAACACGAGTGTTTTCTGAGTAGTGGATAAATTTTAAATGAATAAGTCCAGCCTGTTAAACAGAGTACAGATTCATATTTCCACCAGTTCTCCCATTTGACCTTTGTTCCTTCGCGATAAGAAAGCAAACTGTATGAACGGCTGATTAAATAAGTCAAAAAGCAACAAAAATCAGGATAAAAAATATACTATGTAATGATGTTACTGCACACTTTTTTATGTACTTTAGAACTGCAAAAATAGATGTTGTAGATATTTTAAAAATACATGAAAGCATTCACAAAAGTGGGGACTTGCCTGTCATCGCATTCATGAATGTAGCCAATGATCGGTTGTGCATCTTCATGAAGGGGTCGCGACAAGGGTACTTTTGCGAACCACATAATGTCAGGTGTTCAAGGATGTGAGGCACACCTGTACTGTTTGTTGGCAGCGTTGAAAATGCAACACTGCAAGACAAATTTTTTTTTTTAGTTTCTTGCTTCAAGCTATACTAAGGTCCAATCTGTTTGTAAAACAGCTTTCATACACTGCAAGTGAACCATTAACAAAACAATATTCCATTTACACCACATTGCGAGACTTTATACATCCCAAATTCATTCGCATTCCCTTTTCAAATAAAGCAAACAACTATTACCATACATCTTCCCTGCCTTCAGTGAACTGGCTTAATCGGCCAAGAATTTGACTCAATCAATCCCACTGTTTCCTCAGACTGTTTTTGTTATGAGACAGAATTGCTCAATTTCTTTGCTGCAAGAGCAGCCATGTTTTGCACAAAAGAAAGACTACACAAAATGCCACGTCCCAATTTGATAACAGTTGCAGACTTTAGAATCATGTAATTATCGGCAATTCTATTAACAAAAAATTTGTAATTAGCTATAACAACCTTTTGAGGAAGTGTTGTAGTTGCAGAATAAAAGCAGGTCAATATAATATAAGAAGCATCTTGCAGTTTGCTTGATTTTTGCTTGAACCTCTGCAGGACTAAATATGTTACAGGGTTATGACAACATATACATTAAAATTAACAACTGATTTACTTATGATGGACAAGAATCTGCAAAGTGACTTGGTGTTTTTTTTATACTTTTCAAGGAAGTTTCACCTCATAGCACAGAATAGAGTCATTTGGTTATTACTACGTAGGTTATTTCACGGATTACCTTAAGCATACAAAGTAAACTCGCGCTCTTACTAAAGCCATTGATTGTACATCTTGATAAAGCACTGCAATCATGATTTCATAAATACTTCAATAACACATCAGTCCTGGATCTCAAAGTTTCTTGATACAGGTAACAACTGCACAGTCAGTTCAATTTCAGGTACACCTATGCAATGACTAATCAATGGCACTACCATGGCAAATCATGAATGGTAATCTGCCACTAAACCTCAAGAGGAAGGTATATAACAGCTGCGTCTTGCCAGTACTTGCCTACGGAGCAGAAACCTAGAGGCTTACAAAAAGGGTTCCCCTTAAATTGAGGACGACGCAGCAAGCGATGGAAAGGAAAATTATAGGTATAACCTTAAGAGACAAAAAGAGCAGAGTGGGTCAGGGAACAAACCAGGGCTAAGGATATCATAGTTGAAATCAAGAAATGGACATGGGCCGGGCATATAGCCTGTAGGCAGGATAACTGCTGGTCATTAAGGGTAGCTTACTACATTCCCAGAGAAGGCAAGCGAGTTGGGGGAGACAGAAAGTTAGATGGGCAGATGAGATTAAGAAGTTTGTGGGTATGAAATAGCAGCAGCAAGCACAGGACCAAGTTGACCGGCGGAACATGGGAGAGGCCTTTGTCCTGTATGTGACGTAGTCAGGCTGATGGTGATGATAATGAAAGCACCCCAGGTGGTCTGAATCTTCGGAGCCCTCCACTATAATCATATAGTGGTTTAGCGATGTTAAACTACATATATTGATCAACTGCTGAGGAGGCCCGGTTGCGAAACACCTTTATATTATCGTCGGTGTTGAAAGAATTTCGAAATAGTGATAGGCAAACTAATGCAACATTGATATAGAACATAGAATGGCCAGATGGGAAGGTTTATATCTTCATTTCAGTTGATTTCTTCACGTGAAGTTGTTCAAATTTATTCATTCAGAATTAATTGTGCCATATTTGGCATTACTAAATTTTTGCACTTTGCACCAGTTTTAAACAACCATGTACTTAAAAGCTTCAGCAAAATATAGTGCTAAATCAGATATGCTTGACAAACTAAAAAAAAATGCCCCATATGAAAAACTTAAAGGGTCATAAATCGCGAAATTGATCTAATCCGTTAGGAATGAGCGGAGATACAGGAGTTTTTACCACGGTTTAGGTACTCCTTTTTTTCTCTTGTCTGGAGCGTGCTGGAAGCTAAGCAGGAAAGGATGGCACGAGGGAAATAATTTAGATCAGCACACATCATGACCTTGAGCGCGAGTAAAAAAATTTGATGGCTCTCTCCCGTGATTCTTTTTGTGCGCAAGTGTGGCTCACTGCATGATGTCAGCAGTCAATGTAGCACTGAACCAGCCTGTGGCAGCACCCAGCAGAGCGTAGCTGAACCAAATGCCACACTTGATCTATGTGAACTATTAGCGAACAGCATGATATTCATTGTTTGACATGAAACAGCGGGTGCCGGCAGCTCTGAAACAAGTGAGGACAGGCCCCTCTACTAAAAAAAAAATTACAACTTTGCGCTTCCCTTCTAAGCTGTCCTTTCCATGCAAGATTAGGCCAAGATGTTCATAGCAGCAGCTGCTAAACACACGATTTGTTTTCTCACCGAGCACAAGGGTATGTTCATGACTCCTTTAATTCAGAGGAAAATAACCAGGGGAAGTTGATACTCAGACCCAACTCCCACAATTTTTCAATTTTGCATGTGTGCGCAGGTGCACATACAGATGCACACACAAGCATACATAACAGGTAACGTCCCACTCCAAAAAAAATTTTTGGCTATGCCCCTGCAAACTTTGTATAGAAACATGGATGAGGACATGCAGGAAATTGTTGAGGCAAGCCTAAGCAAAAGAAGGCGTCCTTGTTTCAATTGAAAGAGGAGCTGCCCATCTGGAAAAAACTGGTTCATGGGTGTAGTGATCTTTGCTGTGCAACCATGATGCCTCTGGTGTATATTTCTGTACATTTAAGGTGCCCCCCTAAAATACCTGACTCTCTGAAATGAAATTCAAAGAATGCTTAGCAGACAATCAGCCGAACTTCTTGTCCCATTGTTGCAGCGCTAGAGTGCCAATTATACTATTTCGTTTTCTTTATTTTTGCTGTGACCCACACAGACGAAAATAGTTCCATTTCCAGCTGGAAATAGAACTGGGCGCTGTGATAGCTTTGCAGGCTGATGTATCGTGCTGCCAAGATCTAAGTCACAGGTTCGATTACCGACCACAGCAGCTGAACTTCAATGGGGGCGAAATTCAATCAAATATTTTATTTATTTCTGAGTAAGAAAGCCAGAAATAAACTAAAAGCCCGTGTACTTCTATTTAGGTTAACGTTAAAGAACGCCACAGTTCAAAATGAATTTAAAGTACACCACTACGGCCTGCTTCATAATATTTTCCTGCCTTGGGCTCATAAAGCCTCAGAAATATTTAATTCGCTTCATGTGGGTGTGGTCATTGTGTGGTCTCCTGTGGTCCCAGATTTCGGCGCACTCACCTGAAGTGGTTGTTGCGATCTTCACGAGCGATGTGGAGAAAATCAGCGCCTGTTCTTTCATGCAACAGTCGTACAGCAGCGAGATGCAGTTCTTTCACTTCTTCAACCTGAGGAAAAGAAGCGAAAAAACCCCATTCACGCTGGCCTGCAAGGAAATAAACTCTTCCGCACGTACCTGACGCACCGTGTACCCGCCAATCGTGTCACCCTTCTTGTATTGCAGGGCTTGTTTGACCGCTACTGTGTGGTTCCATCGGTAAACATTCGTCCTGAAACAGTTCGGGCAAACGCTTTGAGCCCGCGGGTTTAGAATGGAAAAGGGTGACCCTTGGAATTAAAGCACGAAAACAAATTGCGAGGAACCTTACCGCGATCGTAGCCCTTGAAAACTTGGGCACAGGTTTCTGAACATTTCGAATTTTTCTTTATGTACTTGTTCCACTATCACTCGAGGAGCTGCTGCCGAAAAAAACTAGTTCTTACAAGTAGTATGATCATTTACCTACGAAGAAACCATGTGCGAAAGGCAATGTGGCTTGGTGTGGCTGCCCAATTGGATCGCGGCACGACTCAGTGCAACAAACTATATGCTCGAAGGCTATGAAACTAAAAATATTTCAAATAAGGTTGTATTAACCAATACACACCCTAAACTTTCGTTAAAAACAATAGTAATAATAATAATTTGTTAATAGTTGTATTAACTAAATAGTTTTGTTTAAGTTTACATTTCTGTTTCATCTAGTTTTGGTTCTGGATTTGACGCATTTCGAAAATAGCTCCTCATATATCTATGGATTGCATAACGGTGACAGTGAAACGAAAAATAAGATAGATACATGTGAGATGTAACAGTGCCACTAGGTTAATCGTCAAGGTTTAACGTCCCAAAAGCACGATATGATTATGAAAGGCGCCATAGCAAAGGCTCCCGAAATTTCGAACATCTGGGGTTCTTCATACTGCATATGCTCATCTAAGTCTATAATATACGGGGTTTTACGTCTCAAAACCACGATACGTTTATGAGAGATACTGTAGTGGAGGGCTCCAGATATTTTTGACCATCTGGTGTTCTTTAAGGTGCTCTCACATCGCACATTGGTCTCTACCGTTTCGCCTCCATCGAAATGCGACTGCCGTGGCGGGGATCGAACCCGGGACCTTCGGGTCGGCACACTTGTTTGGTTCAATGCGATTAATCGGTCACTGAATTTTGGGCGGCTGTGGAATTTTATTGCGCTACAGTGTAGTTTCGTGAGAACAGTGGAGTGGGAGGACATGGAAGTTGAAGGCAGGCGTAGTGTACGTCGTTTACTCCCCCCCCCCCTCCCTCCTTTGAGATGAGATGGCAAATGAAAGAGAGATGGAGTGAGAGATATAGAAAAGTGCGCACGGAAAATCGAGAAAGAGTTGTCAAATGTCCGTCGACTGTGACGCAATTTTTTTTGTGTGATTCCGAATTCGTCCCATCCACAACCGTCGCATATACAACATGTGGAAAATTCGCTCAAATTTATTTATTTATTTATTTATTTATTTATTTATTTACTTATTTATTTATTTATTTACTTATTTACCTATTTATTTATTTATTTCATAATACATGCATGCTGCCGTACACAGTTTTCACATGAACTTCTAATGATAGAACATAAATATCAATTTTAAAAGAATGTTACCGTAGTTTCCTGAACAGTGTTGCCAAAGGTAATTAAAGAGTAAAAATAAACCGGTAATGAGCACTACATGCAGCGAAACAATAAATATATCCTAGAAGAGCGTACTCAATTGCTATCCAAGAAGTTTGTGCATTACGAAACACAGCTAGATTTCACGTTTCCAAATAAATGGCCAACAAAGGTGGGCCAATAAACACGAGGGGGTGGAAAAGGTGACCTTTTCAACATATAAGTAGTATACATACATCTAAGGCAGCATTCAAGATTTTTATATCAGAATAAATAGTAGATGCAAGCACACGAAAATGTGGTTCATGACCTACTGATTTAAGCCATTCCGTCAACAGCCATGTGCCATGTAATTTCACCATTTTAACCTAATTAATGCTCTGAATATTACCAATAACTGAATAATGCAAAATGACCCGGAGGGCCAGTAAACTGCATGCAAACGACCACCGGGCCCTTAGCGCATATTTGTCGGATATGCTCTTGCAGTGGATCATTTTGATCATTGAGGTGGGCAGTGCCACTGATATATTACGGTGCGCACCAGAACAGATACTCGGTAAAGCATTCGTTTGAATGAAATGGCGGTAAACATTGCGCCACACGAAATATTTCGCGCCATTTTGGAACACGCGCCATAGCTCAAGCTGCAAATCCTAACAATAGTTAGCATGATGCACTATGTCTAAAGATGGAACTCACTTAGTGTATACAATGACGACGAAGAGCTCTAGAATTAAAGTATGCCACCAAAATAATTGGTCGAAAGTACAATGAAAATGACGAAAGAAAGCTGAATTGTTTCAAGGTTATATAAACAACTAACCAAGCACAGCATACTCGCTGCCGTTGGCTCAAGGACAAAACCTTAAACTCTTGGCTTAAATGCGTTGCTTTACTGTGACACGTGGAACCCCCTGCGCATGCGCACAGACTGGCGAGGTTAGCGCGCTTTAAGATGGCACCTGTGGTACCATGCATGATCTCACAAGGTTGCGATGCACTGCTCGACGGGCATTGTGGTTGCGTTGGCTCACTCGGGCCGCGTCATAACACGCTTTTGTAGCACTGTTAAGCTAAAACATTAGGCACCGGACTTCAAGCTTTTGAGTATATCCCTCAAAAATGCGTAGGGCCACTTTTTTCCCTGTCCCACTAAAGGGTTGGCTTTCTCCATAATCTTCGCTGCATAGTGGACGAGCTCAACGAACCTTCAGCAAAGTGAGGGTCACTTTTCAGAGTGAATATTTCTAAAAATATTACCTAATCGTTTTAGTGTTACAGTAAACTGATGAAAATATTTTTCACGGGTGTGTAGATGCATTGCCTATTCGTCAAAATAAAAATAAAGGTGAGAAACAAATATCTTATTAATGCAAATGTATAAGCATTGGAGTATAAAAAAAAAACTTGGCCGATCCCTCCGTCATAGGAATTGGTATAACACGCAGGTAAAGTATGTCTTCACAGATGTATATGACTGTTAACATTGATGTATGAGAACGTGTAAAGTGTCTAGTGACGTCGGGCGGATGTAGCCCCATTTGACGTGGACGCGCCCTCTTTGACGCATCAGACAACTTACGTCCATGACCATAATCAAAGCTTTGTGGTGGCTGAAGTAGCTAACCCACACCTTACCACGCAAAGATGGCATCGACAAGCACCTGGCAGTGCCGATAAGTACGCGCGCATTTAAACGTCGTGATCTGAGGAGGAAAATGGCAAGGTGTGCGTTCCGCAGTGATAGTGCGAACTATAACGCTTGTGCTGCATGTCAAACAGCGTTTCAGGGACGCGAGAGGCAGAGTTCTTTTACCATGAGACCGGAAAGCGCGAAGGCGTTCCGCTTCCCGTGTTAGAGATATAATGCGCGTTTGTGAAGCCCCGTACATGTGTGTCGGTAGAGCAGTGGGTATAGAACGCTGGGTACTAATCGTTGCGGACACAAAGGTAGTCGGTTCGACTACCAGGTCATCAGCGTGCATGGATGGGAATTTTAGTTTCTGTTTGTTCATGTGCATTTTTCCGACGTCATGTGTGTGACGGAAAGGGCATCAGTGAAGTTTCGGTGGCCCCGCCACGAATAACTTTTATGTTATAGTTTCGGAAGTTTAAAAAAAAATGAGCACACTGTGGCCTTTGTCTGGCGGTGGCGTGCCAGCGGCGTTCCGCTAGCACTGAACCGCTGGTTTGATTCAATAAATGTTGTTTCTCTCTCTCTCACTCCACGGCATTGACGATGGGGACTTGTTCGAGACGTCGCACGTTTACGCCATTGACTACTAAATGGTTAAAGCGAGAAAAAACTTCGCTTTATATTCGGAATGATGTTCTGAATATATTGCGCAGTGCCTCGTGCGCTGAATCTGGTAATCCTCAAATAAATTATATAACTATTATTACAAATGTGGTAATTCGAACAAAAAGTTTATGTTTCACTGGTCTCTAATTACGATGCCATTTTTAAAATAATCTTGTCCCAATGGCTTTATTGTCTCCAGCCCGAGACAAAATGGTACTCTCCTCATTCGTGAGCAGGCCTTATAAAACGAACTAACTGTTATTAGTAAAAAAATCAATTTTGGAATTTCGCCTTCACCAGATATAGAATTTCTTTCACCTTTCAGAAAATATATCACACTTAGGCTGTTGCAGTTTCAAAAACAATTTTCGTTCCTTTTTTTTTTTGACACGTTGACAGTAAATGCGTGGGTACCTTTACGTAATTTTTGCCTTTTTTGTTTTTGAAGTTTGTGTACACTTTCCTCGGGAACTATCGGGAATAAGCAAACAAAAGTGCTCACATGGGTTAATTGGCGGCACTTACATAACGGGAACTAGAATCAATAGCTGAAGTGCACTTGCGTATTTTTTACTATTAAAAAATGATCATTAGCGGTAATTTTCCTACATCTAGAAACGTAAGAAGACATAACAAATTTAGTGCTTGTTGTACATTCACACTTTTATTTTCATTTCTTGCAAAGCGTGAGTAGCTATATACTTCGTATAAAATTGCAATGCTCTGCAGATAGCAGGTCTTAATAAAAAGTACACATGTAGAAAAAAATTAAACAATAAGCACAACTTTAATTCAATTCTCGAGTGCAATCAAGGTCTGCCTTTAAAATATCTTGCACATTTAAGGGAACAGGGTAAGCCCTATACCCTGTTCTTTGTTGCCTACCGTTCTTCGTTGCTTGCTCGCCTGCTCTTGGGGTTATGGTCAAGAATTAAGTAGCTGTTTTAAGTTGAATTGTCTTTTATTGTTCGTTATAGTGCAATAGTAGTTTGATAAGTGTGTTTGTGCAGTTCAGACCAGGCAGCATGCCCTTTTTTTTTCCCTGGACCCGGGGCCTTCCTCTGGTCTGCTTCCACTGATTCGAAGGAGTTGCCGGTGATCTTTTCTTGCCCAACGGTATATTTTCCGTTCCAGTGGCTCTAGTCCCGACCAATGACGGCATCATTCGAATGAAGAACCCGAAAGCAATTCAGGCGGAACTGGGGTAAGCGACGGCCAATTTTTCAGTCAATAATTGAGGTCCGCCAGTTCGGCAGAGGGGGCATATACTCTGCTTTCCACCAGATCAGTCCTGTGTTTACAAGACTTGCTGAAGTTCTTGCAGTTTGCATCCCATCCGGTGAGCGCGTTCATACCACCTCATTTAGCCTGCACCAAAGGCCTAGTTCGTGGTGTCGATACCAATATGACACCCTCTTAGGTACTCGAATTGTTTTCGCCAGCATGTGTTACTTCAGTTTATCGGTGTGGACGGGTGGTTGACAAGATCAAAGTTCCAACTGAGCCTGTTTTAGTGACATTTGCAGGGTCAGTACGACCA